GTGTTTCTGTTTTTCTGTTCTGGTCTCCTGTGCTGTTATTGTCACCTACACTTTCAGCTCGCTAAAAAGTGCCACAATACTTTATTCTTTCCTCTGCTTTCAGGAACAAATTATCTTCTAAAGTTATTTAAAGGCTAGGGAGATAACTCAGCAGCATAAGCATCTGCCTGGCAAGCGCAAGATCCTGAGTTCAATCCCTGGTACTGCCCAAGAAAACAGATAAAACTATTTAAAACTTGGAATCACTGCCTCACGCTCTGCGTTTCTGGGGCTGTGGCCTGCTCTGGGTAGAACTGCATTTTCTAGGCTGTGGCTCCCTTTAATTTGCTTTTTTTTTAGTGGAACCGGGGATTGAACTCAGGCCCTTGCACTTGCCAGGGAAGTGCTTATTCCACTGAGCCGTCTCCCCGGTCCCTAATTTGCTTTTTTTTTTTTTTTTTTTTTAAATTTTATTTATTTATTTATTTAGTGTGTGTGGCTAGCTCAGCCCACCAGGGGGCGGGGCTGGCTGGCATGTGGTGCTGGGGGATTGAACCGCAGTCCCTGTGCTTTGCTTGGCTTAGCTTGTTCTAAGTAGATGCTTTAGACCACTGAGCCATCTCACCAGCCCCTAATTTGCTTTTTGTGCCAGTTCAATAAAGGAAGATTTTTCTGACTTGGTATATCTAAAATTTCTTTATTTCACCTTCATGTTTTGGCGGAGGCAGGGCATGTCATTCTATACTGACAAATATGATTTCTGTCTGTCTGACTTAGTATTTGGGTAGAGTTAGTTACTTGGGTAATATTTTAGACTCTGCTTCATGATGTCAATCTTGTTTCTGAAAGAAATCTTGGTGAGCGTTAGCCTCGATCCTTGGTATGTAGTTCCTGTTTTTTTATTTTGTTCTGCTCATTTTAAGCAATTTGATGACTATGGGCTTTGGTGTACCACCTCATGCTCCATATTTTTAGTGCTTCAAGGTTCACTGTGTTCCCAGGTCTCTTGGATTCAAGGTTTGCATCAAATTTGAGCACATTTGGGTCTTTGTTTCCCTGCATCTTTTTCTTTACTTTCACCTTCTCCTCCCCTCTAGGGCTTCAGTCTTGCAGCCCAGAATTGGGCTGGGGAGGTAGCTCAGTGGCATAAGAGCTTGCCTGGCAAGCACAAGGTCCTGAGTTTGATCCCTGGTACCATCCCCCAAGAAAACAACCACAACAACAAAAAACCACAACTCAGAGTTGTCCTACAGCTCCCTGGTCTT